AACCATGACCAATTTTCCCAGCTTATTTTACCTATGTTAAACTATATAACTAGGATTTATGGGGTCTAAATTATATGTTTATTTAAAATAACTAGTTTTAACAAGATTATTATATTTATATAGCTGTATATTTACTCACCTTGACTCCAAGGTTGAAATAAAATCCAAGAAGACATCCAACTGGGATACCGACCACGTAGTAACAACCCACATTTACATACGCCACAAATGCTTGCCATCCGCAGCCCACAGCCACTCCTTTATACAGTAAAGGTAAATAAGAACCAAAAAAAAGAATAATAAAAAAATGCAAATCTATGTTAAGAAACAATAAAATTGATTTATTTTGGATGCTAGTTGGCTCAAATTGTACAGAAATTTGTCCTCTGATGAATGAATTTCTGTGGAAACCTTCTGAGGTCTGTCATGTGTCCCATCTCATGATAAAAACATAAAAAAAAAAATCTAACATTTGTAGATAAGACTTGTATCTGTGCTTTTATATTTTTCTACATAAATCCACCAATAAAATATCAATGCTATTTATTAGATGAACTCAAACTTACTAACTGCACAATGATCTCTGCATGAGTGATGAGAAAATTTCATGATTAAGGAACACAAATCTGATTTGTAATTCTATATAATTTCTTAAATAAGTTGGATCACATATGTTTAAATCATCTATTAGGCCATCTCCAACCGAATACCCCATACTCAAACCCATTTTGCAGTACTTATCCCATTTTGCAGTAATTCATCTCCAACCGAAAAACCCATTCTCCAACCCAAAAGAATATTCTCTTTTATATCAACTTTTATAACTTTTCAATACTACCCACATATTTTACAACTTTACAAATTAAACCACACTATTATTTTTAAATTAATTTAGACTTTATGTAATAAACTAATTATAAAGTAATAATCATATATATACATAATAAAATTAGAGAAATAAATAGTCATTAAAATTAAATTTTAAAAATTACAACACACAAAATATTAAAAATTACAACGCACAAGATGATAAATTAAAAATTACAACACACAAGATAAAATTAAAAAATTACAACGTACCAGATGAGAAATTAAAAATTACAACAATCAAGTAAACATAGATAGTCTTTCAAGTCTCGGAATTGGTGAATTCTTCCCACAGATGATCAATTAATGCATTTCGAAGAGCAATGTGATCATCTTTATTTCTAATTCTTTTGTAACGAGATATGAATTCTTCAAATCGAGTACTTTCATCTACTGCCATTTCGACCTCCGGCGGCGGCGTTTCCATTTCAGTTTCAATTGGTGCACTTAGGTCACGTTCATCCTCGACAATCATGTTATGCAAAATTATACATGTGGTCATGATATCATGTAGCACTTCTTTTCGCCAATAACGTACTGGTCCTGCTACAATGCCAAAACGTGATTGAAGAACTCCAAATGCACGTTCAACGTCCTTTCTACATGCTTCTTGTTTCATTGCAAAATATCTTTTTTTCGGACCACGTGGCTCATGAATTGTTTGCACAATGGTAGACCATTTTGGATATATGCTATCAGCTAAATAATAACCCATGTTGTATTCTTTTCCTTGAATTATATAATTAGCTGGAGGAGCAATACCTTGGGTTAGATCCGAGAAAAGATGAGATGATTCTAGAACGTTGATATCGTTGTTGGAGCCCGGCAAACCAAAATAAGCATGCCATATCCATAGATCATAATCTGCTACAGCTTCAAGAATGATTGTGGGCTTTCCACTACGACCAGCATATTGGCCAGCCCACGCTGTAGGACAATTTTTCCACTTCCAATGCATGCAATCTAAACTCCCCAACATTCCTGGAAAACCACGTTGTTGACCAATATATAGAAGCCTGGAAATATCATCAGATGTGGGTCTCCGCAGGTATCGCTCGCCAAATACCTCAACTGTCGCTCGACAGAACTTTTTCATACTTTCAATTGCAGTAGACTCACCAATTTTGACATACTCGTCTGTAGCATCTGCTGGAACGCCGTATGCCAACATACGAAAGACAGCAGTTATTTTTTGTATTGGAGATAATCCAAGTCTGCCAACTCGATCCACTCGTTGTTGAAAGTAATGATCATGATCTTTGACTGCATCGACAATTCGAAGGAACAACGAGCGAGACATTCTGTATCTTCTACGAAACATGGTCTCGTTATACAATGGATTTTCTGAGAAATAATCATTGTATAACCTACGATCAGCAGCCTCTCGATCACGATTGATAACAATATGCCCAGGAACAGAACCTCCATGGGAGGCTTCTTGGTTTTGTTGATTGAGAAGGTGTTGAATGATGATGTTGTTATTAGCGATAACACGAGATATCACTGCTTGTTTTTGACGAAGAGCAGTCATAATTAGTATATGATCATCTTCAGAATCAGATGAAGAAGATGACGAATTGCCAAAATTAAAATTCATTATAGAAATGTGGGATTGAGAAATATGATAAGATGTTTGAAGAGATTAAAGTGTGTGAAGGATTTAGTATATGTCATGTTCTTATAGTAGTGAATTTGAAAGGGTGGTAAGCTTTGTAGTTAGTGGTCATTTTTAGGTTAAAACATTGATAGACGTGACAGACTTTGCAGTGGGAGGTCCTTTTCGGGTCAAAGCATTGAGAGGTGTGGGGAACACTGCAGTGATATGTCATTTTCGAGTCAGAACATGGAGAAGCGTGATCACCTTTGCAGAGAGTTCTCATTTTCGGGTCAAAGCATTGAGAGGTGTGGGGAACATTGCAGTGATATGTCATTTTCGAGTCAGAACTTGGATAAGCGTGTCACCTTTGCAGAGAGTCTTTATTTTCGGGTCAAAGCATTGAGAAGTGTGGGGAACATTGCAGTGATATGTCATTTTCGAGTCAGAATTTGGATAAGCGTGTCACCTTTGCAGAGAGTCTTTATTTTCGGGTCAAAGCATTGAGAAGTGTGGGGAACATTGCAGTGATATGTCATTTTCGAGTCAGAATTTGGATAAGCGTGTCACCTTTGCAGAGAGTCTTTATTTTCGGGTCAAAGCATTGAGAAGTGTGGGGAACATTGCAGTGATATGTCATTTTCGAGTCAGAACTTGGAGAATCGTGTCACCTTTGCAGAGAGTCCTCATTTTCGGGTCAAAACATTGAGAGGTGTGGGGAACATTGCAGTGATATGTCATTTTCGAGTCAGAACTTGGAGAATCGTGTCACCTTTGCAGAGAGTCCTCATTTTCGGGTCAAAACATTGAGAGGTGTGGGGAACATTGCAGTGATATGTCATTTTCGAGTCAGAACATGGAGAATCGTGATCACCTTTGCAGAGAGTGCTCATTTTTGGGTCAAAGCATTGAGAGGTGTGGGGAACATTGCAGTGTTATGTCATTTTCGAGTCAGAATATGGAGAAACGTGTCACCTTTGCAGAGGGTGTTCATTTCGGGTTAAACCATTGAGGGGGGAGTGGCTCATTCACTATAAAAGAAGATATGATATTGTAGTGGCTACATCCCAACATTTTTATTCTATACACTAAACCTTTATCACATCTAACTTCTTGTAAGGATGTCTATCCGTTCATCATCCTACAACCACGATGAAGATATTCTTTTATGCCAAGTTTATATGGATATTTCTCAGGACCCAATTATTGGGGTATACCAATCATCTGACCGATTTTGGTCACGTATAGAAAAAGCTTTCAATGAACAAAGACTTGAGCATTGGGAGGTTCGTAGCCAGAGATCTATGCAAGCACGGATTTAAACGATTGAAAAAGCAGCCAAGAGACTCCATGCATGCATTAAAGCAGTAGAAGATATGCATCAAAGTGGTGCTTCAAATGAAGATACAGTGAGTATTAAAATCTTATTATATTTTTTACTTATTAAATTTATTATTTATGTTAGCTATGTTTGATTGTTTATGAAAAATTATAGATGCTCAAAGCGAAAGTGTTGTTCAAAGAAGATTCTAAATTCAAATCCGGATGGAAATACGACCATGTTTGGAATATTATTAAAAACTTTGAAAAATTTCAAGATGGAGCTTCGAGGAGCAAGAAAAAACAATCTGGTCGTTATCCATCTTCGTAGTCAGAAAATCCAACTCCCGAGTCTGCCGGACAAGAATCCCCAGGTATTTCTTCATTTTCTCTAAAATTAAGCGACTCGGATCAATTTGCTAGTGGTACTCCATCTGAAAGACCTATCGGGGTGAAGAAAGCTAAACTGAAAAGAAAGGTCAATGAAGATTCATCATCGCTCATCAATGCTATGAAGGAAGAAAACAAACGACTTGTTGAAGAGATGAAAAATACAAACGACCAAATAAAACATCAATTGGAATTACGCGACAAATCTCATGCTTTAAAAGAAATGAGAGAAGAAAATAAAATTCTGTTTCAAGATGTGAATTCCATAGCAGATCCTAGAGTTCGAGCATACGTTGAAGCTGAAAAAGCACGAATCTTGGAAAAAAGAGCACAACAAGCCCAATCAAATCCATTTCCAACCAATGCATTTGACCAATTTTTTAATGATCTTGGAGGAAGCGGTTCCAACTTACCAGATTACTAAATTGTCATGCTTGTTTTTTGGTTTCCGGTTTGGGTTTATGATGTATTTTTCTTTCTTTCTTTTTTGTGTGTGTTTGTTTTTTATTTATCATGGTTTAGGATGTATTTTTCCTTTTTTTTGTATGGTCGTTAATTTTCATGGTTTATGATGTATTTTTATTTTCCGTTGTTCTATGTTATCTTTCAATATTATAACTAATTTGGTAATATTAATGTCTTTTTTATTTGTTAAATTTGTAGTCTCTTTAAAATTAATATGGTTTGTAAATTTTTTTTTCTAAAAAAAACACTAACAATATATAATAAAAACGAATAAAACAATATTTAACTTAACATAAATTACTAAATATATATATATAATTACTACAATGTGTAAAATTTAACTTATTAAAGGTAAACATAATTATTATATACAATATATATAATAGGTGGGGTATATTGGGATATTGTGATATTGTGAACAAATATAAAATAATATGATATTCATTATTTTATATCCATGAAATAAAAAAAAATAGTATTTTGTAAACTTATTTTTCCAATTCATTTTATCTTAGCATTTTCAATTACAAATATTAAAAATTGGTTGAATTTATCAATTATTAAAGAGAGGGGTCAATTGAAAATAAAAAACAAAATTGAAGGACTCAAATGAAATTAAAAAAGATAAAACGCATATTTTTGCGTTGGACGCAAAATTGCGTTGAACAGAGGAGAGAGAAGAGGGCAAACGCAAAATGGGATCGGATATGCAGTTCGGTTGGAGAGATTTGTACTGCAAATTTTGAGATTTGCAGTACGGTTGGAGACGGTCTTTTAACTCACAAGACACATGATGTAATAAGGACAATGTTTTCCACACCACTCCAATTTTTCAATCATATCCTACTCTCCCAACTCAATGGATTGACAATTTGGCACACGTGCATATAACGGCTGCTAAGTGCCAAAAACTAAATTCCAAATCAAGTGATCCAAAATCAAATCAAAATCCACACGTAAAGAATGGAAAAGGACATCTCTATAATAATTATACAGTGAAGGACAAAAAGGTCACATGAGATGGCAAGGCAGCCAGTCAAACAGCAAAATGCTGAATTTAGGTCTTTGCCAAATTTTTAAATTGTTCAAGTTGATGAGCAAAAGTTAAAAAGTTTGGGACCAAAGGAAATTTTGTAGGTTACCTGACAACACCGGTTGAACGCCGTTTAGGATGAGTGTGACGGCTAAGAAGGGGCAAAGATCGGCTACAGCGTGGGCCACCGTCTCGCCACCTGTGAATATGTAACTGATGACGTGGCGCTGACTCATCACGATTGCCGCCTCAATTGCCGCCACTATGAAAGAAACCGCCGTCACCACCAACACCGAGAAAGCCGCCGCCTTCGGGTGCCCGGCTCCTATCTCGTTGCTCACTCTCACACTGGAAAAAAAAAAAACATTTTTTTCTTTTTGAAAATATTCCAATAATCCAATAACATAAATTTAACATTTTTACAATAAAATTTATTGAAAATTTTAATTGGAATGCTAATGATTATGTAACAATATGTAAATATAAATGAACTTAACCTAGCAGCGGCATTGAATCCGACTGCGATCATGAACATTAGCCCGCTCACTGACATGCTGCAAAATAAATGAAAGTAAAATTATGTATTAATAAACAGTTTAGATCTCCAATCAACTATATTAGCCCAATACTATAGTAGAAATTCCCAACTTATAAGTAAATAAATAGATAAACTTTAGAGAGGAATGGATGTCTAAACAAAAAAATATATAAACTTTAGATAGGTTTTGCAAAAAATATGCATGAATTTAAATTATAAATCATATTCTAAAAAATACAAGCATAACATGATATTTCATAATATAAATATGAATTTTTCGTTAAAACTAATATAAAAATTCGGGCGCCTCATATAAAAATCATTAAACCACCTAACAAATAGACAATCATATTTTCTTAGAGCATCTCCAATGTGAGATGTTGACTTAATAAAATGTTAGTCACATCATCAAGTTATAAAGTGATTACAAAAATTAATCTCCAATCCATATTGTTATGGACTCTTTTATGCTGACGTGGAGACAATAAATATCCAAAGTGTGAAGCCCACTTTCTAGTTTTTCAAAGAGTGTTTGAAAGCCAACTCATAAAAAATCTAACATATTTTAAGCTTTTGAAAGGGATGCATTGGAGATGTGCATTTCAAATTAAAGTCTTCTCTTTTGACATTCGTATTACATGGATTTACATTCCATTCATCATTTGACATGTGTTCAAATTTAATTAATGTTCAAAGTGGAGCATCGGAGATGCTCTTAGGAAAAATGCATTCTTATCTTATGAAATATCATATTGTAAAATGATATAAGCAAAATATAGTATTTCAGTATATGAGTATGAATTTTCGTTAAAACAAATATGATAATTTGGAGACCTCATATAATTAAAAATAACAAATATTACTGTTAGACTTCCTAATCATTACACAACTATAAGTATTACTAAAAATGCATACTTTATTTGTATTATATTTTATATAATAATATTAAGTGTACAAAAAGTGTACAAATA